ATGGTATGGGATAGTGCCATGGAAGGATGCAGCCTGGGTAGGATGGGAACAGAACAGAATGGGGCCAGGGTAAGAGCTGTGGAAGGATGGGGTTGGGATGAGATGGGGTTGGGGTGAGATGTGATGAGAATGGGGTAGGATGGAACCAACGTAGGATGTGGACAGGGTGGGATGAGGTTGGGGTAGGATGTGGGATGGGGCCGTGGGAAGGGGACTGCCCTGGCTGCCGGACGCAGGAGGGAGGATGTGCTCCCCGGCCGGCTGTACTCGAGCGTGCAGGCTGGGGAGGGCTCCGGGAGGATGGAGCGCAGCCTGCCGCATTCCCAGTGTCGCTGTTAGTTTAACAATACCCCGCTGGCCTGCATGCCGGGGCTAATTTTATCCCTGGAGCCAGGCCAAGGCGGCCCTAACTTTCCTCGCTGTGATTTATCCCAGCCATTTCCCTTCAAAAACAAGGCCCCCGTGCCAGCCCCGCTGCCTCCCAGGCAGCCACACGCTGCCCCAGGCCCCGAGCAGTGCAAAGCGGGGCAGGATTTGCCCCTTGGTGGGTTGCTTGAAGAGCAGGAGGGTGGTTACTGTGGGATCCCCTCCCAGGATCATTCCCTCCATGGCACAGGGATATCTGAAGCTGACTGGCAGCCAGGGGATGCTCAGATGCAGAGCTTTCCCCAGGATCCTGAAGCAGCTCCATTTTCCACAGACATCTCCGGGAAGCGGGTTGGTGTTTTTTCTACCAACAATTTTATTGAAAAGGCTGTGGGGCTTTTTTTTTTTTTCCCTTTTTTTTTTTTTTTTCCCTTTTCCCAGTCAGCAGCCATGCTCAAGAAAGAGATTTCCCTTCGCCTCTGGGCATCTAGTTAAAAACTGATCAGTAAAAATGCTGCAGAAAAATGGAAAATATTGAAAATATCTCATGACAAACAAACAAAAAAATCTCTTCCAAATAAAGATCTGTTTCCTTCTCTTTTTTCCATCAGAAAAGCTTTTAGTGTGCAAAATGTTGACCGCTTGGACGACTTCTCCCAGCAGGCTGGGATGCACCTGCCTCTGCTCCAGGAGAGTGGGTTTTCAGAAAGCTAAAAATCACTGGGCAGCACTGTTACCTCCACATCTGTCTCTCTTGTGAGCCTCCAGTGCCCCCACCAGACCCATGGCAGGGTGGGAGGACACAGGGAAAGAGGTGGCACAGCCAACCCGCGGGCGAGCCCTTCCCCACAGGCCCGGGAAGGGGGAGGAAAGCCCAAAGTTATTTGGTCTCTAGCGTGATGAGTTCCTGTCAGTTCTCAGTCTGCCACAGACAGAGGAGGCGTGCGAGGCTGCGGGCAGAGCAAGTGGAGGCGTTAGAGGTTGTCATACATGCGCAGTGTCTTCTCCAGCTGCTGGCTGACGCGCTGGTAGAAGACGATCTGCTGCCTCAGGTAGGACTGCATCATCCTCTTGAAGTCAGCCACGCGGCGCTCGTGGAAGTGGTTCATCTCGGCCTGCAGGGCGAAGCCCACCACGCGGCAGCGCTTGCGGATCCCGTCAGCCTCCTCCTGGTCCATCCTGCCCTCGTCGCTCATCCGCTGGCTCTCCTTCACCTTCGCGAAGGCGCCTGGCAAGGCAGGGAGCAGGATGAGAGGCTGGTGGATCTGTGTGACCCTTCCCTGGCCTTCCTGGTTGATCCCACCGCCCTCCATGCCAGGGCACCAGCCTGGACTCAAAGCAGAGGCGCAGAGCTGCCCCACATGAGTAAAGGAGGGATCTACCTGCATCTCCCTATGCCCATCGAACTCATCCCTCTCCTCCAGGCAGGGAAAGACCAGGAGCCTTTCCCCTCTGGACTCTGGCCTCCCCAGCTCCTTTTCCATCCCATCTCTGAGCACACAACCTCATGTTGAGCTGGTTTTGGGGTCTGGGCTCCTGGAGGGCTACAACTCAAGGCTTTGGGTGCTAAGCTAAAAATGCGGGGCATTGTTAGCACAGCCAAGCACCCCAGCCAAGCCTGTCCTCCAAATATTCCATGGTATCCCATAAATGGGGGTCAGGAGTAGCCCTGGGAGACCCCAGACCAGGAGGCAGTGAACCAGGATGGGGGAAGGGCGTGTGGTGCTGTCTGGAGCTCAGCTGGGAAACCATCTCCCTCTCCCAGAGGCAGCTGATGCTCTGACACCAGTTTTTCCCTCTCCATGTTTTTTTACAGCTCAGTTTCGAAAGAATCCTGCCTGGCTCCAGCCCTGCATTCCTCCCCCTCATTAGCACAGAGGCTAAAAAACTAAAAACAAGATCTGGCCTGCTCTGGGCTTTTTTCCCTTATCCCTGCCCCTTGCCGGGAGCACCAGACCCGGGGTTACGGTGCTCCCGCTGCACCAGCCCTGCTCCCAGCAGAGAGGATGAGGAGGAGGAAGAAGCAAAGGTTGGAGGCCAAATCCTGCCTTCTGCTCTGCCCACGCAGCCTCGCTTCCGGACGGGATCCAGCCCCTCTCCATGGGTAAACAACACTGGGAGGAAAGGCATAGAAGCTGCTGGGGCAGGATTGTACTCTCCTTGCTCCCTTTGCCTTCCCAGCCTCCCCCAAGGACATGCAGCGAGGCACAGACATCCCTGGGTGCTTGGACACAGACAGCCCTGGTTTCCACCCTGGGGAAAACTTGTCCCCCAAAATCTGAGGATGTTAGTGTGGGTGTCCCCTCCCCGCTATGGGTAGCTGGGCTGGGAGGAGTGTGTGGACTTCGGCCCTGCTCCCACACCCAGCTGCGTCAGCCTGGGTGCAAAGGGCCACCGAGTCCTCCCTGCCTGCCACTCAATCCAGGAAGAGCACAGAAAACACTTCTCACCCCCTCTGACCCCAGCAACTCCAGGGAACTAGGACAAATGAGATGCAGGGAGCTCTGACAGCCCAGGTGTGCTAACCCACTCCTCCTGGACCCAGAATTGCAGGGACATACTCCTGAAAAGTGTGACCTTGGTTGTCCCCAGGAGGTTCAGTGTGTCATCCCCCACGGACATGTCCTCATCCCACTGCCCTGCACAGCCCACTCTGCTCCTCTGGCCCACTCAAGGCCATATCCAGCCATGTCCCAGCCCCGAGAGAGCAAGCTCCAGCATCCCTGCTGGCCACCCATCTGCCGCCTCGGCAGGGAGGGAGGATGAGGAGGGACAAGTGGCAGTGGGTGGGATGCTCAAGAGGTGCCGGGCAGGTCACCACAAAGCCACCAGCAGTGGTGCTGGCTCCTGCTAATGGTCTGCAAGGAGTGACACCCATGCTGATCCCCACAAAGGAAGCACCAGCAGCAGTCATGGAGCCCACAGCATCACTGGGTCAGACCCTGGACCCAATAGCCCTAGCAGCCTCTCCCAGCTGGGGTGACTGGAGGGCTGTGCCAGCAGGGACCACACTGCTTCCCTAGGAGCCACAGACAATGGTTTCCATTCTCATTCCCATCTTCATTTCCCATTCCCTTCATGGCCCAACAAAGGATTTCCTCATTGCATCCCCATACCACTCCCCACGCCGTTCCCACTCCCCACGCTGTTCCCACTCACATGGGGCCGTTCCCAGGGAGAAGAAGGCCTCCTTACCTTTCTGGAGGTGGATGATGTCTGGAAAGTTGGAGAGGAGCCCTTGGTATAAGGAAAGCGTGTCCAGCATGAGGAACAGGTCATTCTTGGGCTGCTCAGCAAACATCTCCCCCACAGTCTCGTACGTCTTGCCTGTGTGGGAGATGGCGTTGTTGAGGGCATCCAAGCTGTAGGGAGGGTCCATGTGGAAGGAGTGGCTGATGGCTTGGAAGGCATTGCCCAACTTCTGGAACTCCTTCCGGAAGCCCCCCACGTGCTTGCGCACCAGCTCCAAGGCCACGTTGGTCAGCTGCAGGACGCTGTCGTCCATCTTCTTGCTGAAGGCCTTGAAGGCGTCCACGCGGTCCTCCACGTCCTGCAGGTCCTGGTGCTCCGTGGGAATCTGGATGGTGAGGAGGAAGCTGGCACCCACCATCTCATCCTTTTCCGCCCGGCGTTTGCCCAGCTTCCACTGCTTCTCGTCACGGCAGCAGAGGAAGTGCTGGAATCCCTCGTACTGGGAGAGGACGGGGTGGCTGGTCATGTGGTCCATCCAGAGGATCAGTCGCCGCTTGCGCTTCTCGATGAAGTCCTCCTCAAAGCGGCCAGTGGCCTGCTTCTCGGGCAGGTGGGGCACCGAGATCACCGTGAACTTGTGCAGGAGGCGGTTGTAGAGCCAGTCGAAGTGCTTGTACCGCCGGTACACGGGCGAGTTGATGTTGCTGGGGGTCAGCTTGTAGGAGATGTAGCTCTTGATGCCCTTGAACTTGGTCTGCTTGGTGGGGTCCTCCACAGAACAGATGAAGGGGTGGGGGTTCGCCCTCCACTGGGGACCTCTGGAGCCCATCTCGATGCAGTATGTCTCAGAGATCTTGGACATCAGGGGCACGTCGCCCAGGATGAAGGCTTCCACACCGGAGCGGACGAAGCAGGAGAAGCGGTTGAGGTTCCTTCCTACCACGCTGCCCCTCTTGGAGGAGCTCATGCTATCCTGCCTCTCCAGCGCCGGCTTGGGCCGGTAACCTGCATGCTGGTGGTGGCCATAGGCCTCCGGGTACTGCAGATTGGGTGAGGGGTGCCCGTTGGTACCCGGGGCGCTCCGGGGCTCCTCCACCACCGTGCACGCATCGTCCCAGTCATCCCAATCATCATCATCGTCGTCCTCAAAACTGCCCTGGTAGGAGATGCCGGGATTGGGGGATGCTGAGTAGAAGGAGGAGTCGTGCCCGGGGGAGCCGGCCGGGCTGCTGGAGTAGTCCGTGTAGTTGGAGCCTGACCGGGAGCGGAGGATCTCGACGTAGGAAGCAGGGAAGAGGCCGGTCTCCCCGCGGCTGTTTTGGCCCTGTAACCACCCGTCCAGGGAGTTCTCACTGAAGATGACGAGCTCCTCGTTCTCCTGGATGCTGATCTCCTCTTTGTTTTCGCTCTGGAAGTTGTAAAGCGCTCTGGCTTTCAACGCCATGGCCGGTCGCGGGTCGGGAAGAGGAGGGGGGGACACAGCGGAACGCAATCCCCCCAGCCAAAACAACCCCCCCAGGCAATACCACAGGCTCGCTCGGCTCCGGGATCACCACCACGCGCTGTGGGAAATGGCTTGGCCGGTTTCCCAGAGAAATTAAAAAAAAAAAACGGTGAAGAAGAAATCCCTTACGAGGTGACGCCAAGTTCCGTGTGTCCAAGTGACCCCCCCGATCCCGGCACCCCTGTTAAAAACAACATTCCCCAGTTAAAAAACAACATTCCCCAGTTAAAAACGACATTTCCTGGATAAAAACAAGATTCCTGGTCAGGCGAGCGGCGTTTCCCCGGCTCCTCCGGGATGTGAACCCCGGCCGGCCCAAGAGCCGGGCTCTGCCATGTCCACGCAGGGTTTATCTCGCTGGGACGCCGATCCCGAGGTTTCACTTTCCGTGAGGAAAACCTCTGGCTGCCAGCGAGGAGATATATCCCAAGCGACTTTTCTCGGGGGTCCTGTGGATAAAACACCCCAAATTTTCCCCTGCCAGCTGTCGGTGGGTGCTGGGAAATCGTCAGGAACGACCCCAAACCCTGCCCAACCTCCCAGTGATCCCGGGATTTCCTTTCCGGGCCGACTTTCCCGGCGGCTGGTGGGGTTTGGTTTTTCCCTGAAATCCGTAAATCTCACGCAGGACGGAGGTGGAGGGGACGGCGGTGGGGCTGGCGGGGGTGCCGGTGCTGATGCCGGTGCCGGTGGGGGAGATGGTGCGGGGCCTGGTCCCCGTTGCCAAGCGGGATGGCGAACCGGTGCCGAGGCTGGTCCACCGCTGGCCGGGGGCGGGTACACGGGGCTTGTCCCGTTTGCCGGTGCTCTGATGCGGCCCCGCTGCGGGTCCCGTTGCGGAGGGGGTGGCGGAGCAGCCGCAGCCTCCCGTGACGCAGGGCAAGCAGCGGCATCTTCCCGCTCCGCCGTCCCGGTTCGCAGCGAGCAGCAAAGCCCGGCCCCGGCCTTGGCCAGCCGACACGCTGCCCTCTGCAGGCAGCCGTCCCGGGGCGCGAATCCCTCGCCCGCCGGTTGGACTGGCTGCTCCTGCGTCCACCACCCCCCCCCCCCCCGCCCCCCCCCCCCCCTCTGCCGGGATAATTCTCCCTCGGCCGTGCCCGGTCCACGGCCCGCGGGCGTCCCCCTTCCCAGCCCCTCGGGCCGGAGGGGGAAACTGAGGCACGGGCTGAAGCGGGCTGCGGGGGGCGCGGGGCCTCCGAGCCGCGCGGGGCGCTGCGGGCGCGGCCCGGGCCGGAAAGCGGCCGGCGCGGGGTGTTGCCAATGGAAGGAGCTGAGCGCGGCGCTGGCGGCGGGCGTGGGGCTGGCGGGGCCCCTTCAAGCCCGGTGACGTCCGCACCCCGCCTGGCCGCGTACAAGCCCCCGCATGGCGGCCCCGGGCAGGTCGAGCGCCGGCAGCGCCTTCCTCCGCATCCAGAGAGAGTGATAGGGGAGAGCGGGCGCCGCTCCAAGGGATGGGGGCGCGGGCGGGGGGCGGGCCGCGTTGGGAGGCCGCCAACTGGGGCTGCGTGTGGGGAGGCGGCCCGGTTTGGGTGTGGGATGCGGTGGGTGACCTGCCTCCCCGCTGGGTTGTTTCCTCCCCCCCCCCAGGAGGCGGCTGGACTACGTGAACCATGCCAGGAGGCTGGCAGAGGACGACTGGGCAGGGATGGAGAGCGAGGGCGAGGAGAAGGATGGGGAAGATGCGGAGGAAGAGGAGATGGACGTGGATGCTGGCAAAAAGTTGCCCAAGCGCTACGCCAATCAGGTGAGGAGCCACCTGGGTCCCCATGGTGGGGTATGGGTGTGAGACAGGGCCAGGGTGAGGGATGTGGGGTGGTTTGAGGCCACGGTGATGGCCGTTTTGGGGCTGAGAAGAATGTGTCCTGTCTGACTTGGTGCTCAGAGAGAAACTGTGGTTCAGTTTGCCTCCAAAACATGCTGAGTTCAAACGGAAAACAAATGGAGATGGGCCGCCTGTGTGCTGTAGTCATTTAGGTTGGAAAAGATCTCGAAGGTCATTGAGTCCAGCCATTAATCCTGCACCACTGCATTCCCCACTTCGGGAGATTTCAGCTCAGCTAGCAGCATTAGTACCCCGTTAGGCAACACTCAGCTAAAGATTTCTGTCTTTCCCCGTGTCTGGGACACCAGGAAGGAAAGGAAAACTCAGCTGGGTTTTATCAGCCTGGGTGCTGTATTGGTCCTAAAAGGCATGCAGCCACCTGGGCAATGTTTGAGGAGGTCAGTTTCTCTGGGCTCTTTAATCATAATATTTTGGAATCTCTAAGCTCTTTCATGTTTTTAAGAATAAAGTGCTGGAGTGGGGACCAAGGTGTGAGGTGGCCAAGCAAGGACTGTGAGCCCTATTCTGTAGTCTGAAACTCAGTCAGCAGCTGGGAAGCAAGAGAAAGACTTGAAGAGTGTGTTAGGCAGGTTGAGGTTGATTAGGGAGACAGAGAGAGAGGGAAGGAGCCCTTTTGGGGGTGACAAGCAGTGCCAGCTGCCTCTAAAACGCCCAGTGTAGCTGTTGAAGCCAAGTTAAAACCTCCTTGTTTTATTCTGGAGCTGTTCATTGTCCATAACTTCAGGATAGTTGTTACTAACTGTTTTTTCCTGGTTTCTCTGTAGCTGATGCTGTCAGAGTGGCTGGTGGATGTACCCTCGGATCTGGAGCAGGAGTGGGTTGTGGTGGTGTGTCCTGTGGGGAAAAGGGCACTCATCGTGGCCTCCAGGGTAAGTGGTAGCAGAGGTGGGGGTCTCACCAGCTGCTAAAGGACCTGGTTTATGTTTCCAGCCAACATAAAGCTGGCTTGACTGGGTTTTCTCTCTCCTCTTTCCTCACAGGGCACAACAGCAGCTTACACCAAGAGTGGCTTCTGTGTCAACAGGTTCCCATCCCTGCTGCCGGGGGGGAACCGGCACAACTCAGCCAGAGAGAAAGGTACAGGTGTGAGGAGACATTTGGGATAGAGGGAGGGGAGCTGCCTGCTTCTGCCTGGGAATGTGTTTGCTGGCAGGCTCAGTGCTGCTCCTCCAGCTCCCCTGAGCCCCAGAGCTATGCCCTTTTTTGTGCTGATAGGTAGTCAACCTCAGGCCTGTTTCTGTATCTCTGGAGATAACTAGATGTGGACAAATACCTTTATGCTAGATAAGCACATGGAGTCCCAGAATGGTTTGGATTTGGAAGGGATCTTAAAGGTCATCTTGTTCCACCTCCCTGCCATGGGCAGGGACACCTTCCACTATCCCGGGTTGCTCTAAGGCCCATCCGACCTGGTCTTGAACACTTCCAGGGATGGGGCAGTCACAGCTTCTCTGGCCTCACCGCCCTCACAGGGAAGAATTTCTTCCTAACATCTAATCTAAAACTGCCTTTTTCCTGTTTAAAACCATTGCCCTTTGTCCTGTCACATCTTTTAATTAGCCTGATTGACTGACCCTCTTAAACCCCAATATCCTCTCTGTCCTCTAAAAGAGACCTGTGTGTGCTGTCATCTTCCTTACTACCTCTTGGAGTTCAGTTTTTTGGCCCAGAAAAAAAGAGGTTTATTCCCTGGCAAATGCCATTTTCTGAAACATGCCCTTGCCTGCTATGCCTCTGGCTGGTCCCTTTGTAGCCTCATGGGACTCCTCAGGCTCAAGGCTTTTTGCGGTCACAGTTTCTGTTAACAGAAGAGGGTCCCTCTGCGCCTGGCAGCCTTACATCAGGGCAGGATTAATGCTGGAGAGCTGTGGCCTGGCATTTGCCAATTGGGTTAGGCAGAGTCTGGAGCAGGTATGGACCTCCCTGTGTTTGTGTGTGCAGTGTACACCATCCTGGACTGTATCTACAATGAGGCCCAGCGAACCTACTATATCCTCGATGTGATGTGCTGGAGAGGACACCCTGTTTATGATTGCCAGGTACTGAATCCCTGCCTCCCTGTTGTTCCCTGAGATGCAGTGCTCCAGCACTGTATGTAGCTCACTCTCCAAAATGTGGATATTTCTCCCAAGCACCAGCGTCTTTACAGCTTTTGGGCTGCTGGAATTATGTACATGTTTTGTGGGGCAGTAGCAGGGTTTGGGGTGCTGGTTCTGCAGGTGGAGTCGATTTTGTAAATCTCCCAGGTGAATGCAGAGGAGTGAAGACACTCAGCAGGTGCTGATGGGTGATGTGTAGTGAATGGTCACTAACTCTCTGTGTCCTTTCACAGACTGACTTCAGATTCTTCTGGCTGTCCTCAAAGATCCAAGAGGAGAAAGGGCTGGGAGAGACAAGCAGGATTAATCCGGTAAGTCCCTTTGTACTGAGAAGGAGGCTGAGGGGTAAGCTCTCCTGTTCAGCAGGCTTCAGCAGTTTCTTTCACAAGCGGAAGCTTTCTTTCTTTTTTTCTTTCTCCTCATGGATCAGGCTTCAAAGTGTACATCTGATGAAATGGGATGCCGTGGTCAGGATGTAAATGGAACCACTGAATATTGTAAATGAGTGCAGTGGGATTTATTTCCCCCATCCAAAGTGCTGAGGGCTATCACACTGCAGGGTATCAGCTAACTTCCATGCTGTTTTTAGCTTTCCTTTGAAATGGAATGGAAAACCAGTGTGGTTTCTGCAGGGGCAGTGTTGGTTGGCAGCCTGACTACACTGGGGCTTATTCTTGCAGTCTTGCGGGTTTGTAAAGCTTTAAGCCTTCCCTCTGTTTAAACTGATCATTGAAATTGTTCGGATGAATGCCGGATTGCCACCCAGAATCCCTGCTGAACCAGGATAAAAAGTCTTCCTTCGAAGACTTACGTATGGAGGTCAGACCTAGAACCCACAGCAGCTTGGAACATGGTTTTTGGGTACAGACATGAGGGATTTCTCTGCTCAGGCACAGCCAAGCAGAGCAGCTCCTGTGAGCTAAGCATCTCAGTGATAAATGGGGCTGAGTGCAGTGAAGGTGTCTGTGTTCGGAGAACATCCTGTTCTGACTCCCAACAGGAATATCCAGAAGATAGCTACCTAATGAAGGGGGGTCGTTTCAGCTTTCATTTCCTGGGTTGAAAGATTGACTTGGCTGAGCCAGCAGCCTGCAACAGATGCCTGTCTACTTTGCATCCTGCCTGGAGGTCATAATTTTCTCTTTTGGTTAAAAGAACATCTCCTGAAAGGTCCTTCGTGCAGTCTTGGGTGCTTGGGAAAAAAGGTATCAGGGGCATGTGGGAGCTGTTCCTCACCCTTTCCCTTTCATGTAGGATCCTGCACTGGAGGAATCCTTCCTTCTTAGCTGCCTCCGCACTGGTGCTGGACTCAGCAACTTGTTTGCCTTTAGGCCACACAGTTGCCCCTCTAACCCTCTCTTACTCTTTCAGTACAAATTTGTGGGCCTGCAGAACTTCCCTTGCTCCTCGGACAGCCTGTGTGAGCTGCTGGCTATGGACTTCCCCTTTGAGGTGAGAACACCCGGGTGGGAGCCTGGACCTCAGCCTCAGCAGCAGCCCTGCTGTGCCTCTGCCAGTGCTGGGAAAGAGGTGCATCCCCTCTGCTTGGGAATTTGCTCTCCCAAAGCTGCAGGAAGCTTGCTGAGCTGCACTGCCGTTTCCCTTTGTGTGTGGGATGGATGCCTTTATGCCCATGGTTGATCTCTTGCCTTGTCAACAGGTACAGGCCTCATCCAACCACACAGATAAGCAAGAGTTAAACCCACGGCATTCCATGTGTTTGTGCTGCCCTTGCTGCAGTTGGCTGGGTCTGAAAAAGCATTTTAGGATGAGTGTTGATAGGGACACTCAGGCTGCCTCCAGAAGCAGCACAACTCATGTTCACATAGCAGTGTGATGGACAGCTGACCTCTTAAGGGCCAAAGTTGGTACTGCCCATGGCTTTATGTGGGCTTGCGTGGGTTTCCTTAGTCTGGCTGCTTCCATATTCTATGTCCAAGGCACCTGGCTGTTTTCTGGGAAGGAAGGAGAAGGTTGATGGTAAGATCCCAATGGTTTCTGAGGGGTTTGGGTCTTCAGAGTGGGTGCCTGAGGTGTACTGGAGCTGGGGGAGGATGGCTGTGACAGAAATGGCTGAACAGGACACCTGTGTTCGCTTCATCAGCTTTAGAAGTAGAATCATAGAATCATACAATATCCTGAGCTGGAAGGGACCCACTAGAATCATCAAAGTCCAGCTCCTGGCCCTGCAGAAGACAGCCCCAGCAATCCCACAGTGTGCCTGAGAGCATTGTCCAAAGGGTCCCTGAGCTCTGGCAAGCTTAGGACCATGACCAGTTCCCTAGGGAGTTTGTTCCATTGCCTGACCACCCTCTGAGGGAAGAATCTGTTCCTCATATCCACCCTAAACCTCACCTGACAAAACTGTTGTGCTATTCTGACCTTTGGGGAAGGGCAAGACAGGCAAATCCACGTGCCACCTCGCTCAGCTCCATGTGGTTGTGAGCAGTGAGTCACAGGCCCTCATGGAATCAGCTCTGGCTGCTTTTGCCTGCCCTGGCTGACTTCTCACTGGAGGGGGAGAGGATGGAGGAGGCAGTGGCATTCCGGCCCAGTGACAACATCTGGAAGCCAGAAGCTCCTTCAGTGTCTGCTGCAGTTCCTAGGAGTGCCCAGTCTCAACCCCACACCAGGAACAGCCTCCACAGAGGTTTCTTGTCCTGCAAAGGCAAAAGCCACATTGATGTGACAGTCTCTTGTGCTGCCCCATCCCGAGTTAGCCATTAGTATAAGTGCAGGTTTAAATTAAGGGACACTAATTTGTCTGTGAGGGCTGACTTTGCTTGTCAAAGCCAGGACAGCCATCAGAGTGAGTCAGAAAGTCCCAGCTTTCCTGCAACTGACTTGCTTAATGACAAATCTCTGAGTGCCTCTGTAGAAACAGTCATTCCTGTCTTTCCTGAGTAAAAGCTTCATTCCTTCCTGAGGCATCTGGTCCCAAGAGGAAAGGCTGAGGAGTGTTGCCTCGCTGTGGTCAGAGTGGGAAACTTTTGGGCTACGAAAGAGGCCATTGTGAAACTCTGAAGCAGGAGATGGAGCTGAACGGACTCCAGATGTGTAATCCAGCTGTGATTTGCCCCCCTGGTCTTTTGATACATTGGGGTGTAACCCCAAGAAGTGAAATGTGGTGTAATTGGCTCAACACACTGGAACCATGGTGCTGCTTCCAGAATGAAGGGAGCCGTGGGTCCCTCTGGTGTGCCACAAGAGGGAGCCCAAAAATCCCCCAAAACAGCTTCCACCACCGGCACAGAAAATAGATCCTGGTTATGGATAGTGAAGGATAACAGAGGTGGTCTTAGTCTTGGGCCCAGCATCTGGTGATCCTGACAGGAATCTCGTGTGTGTGGTGGCAGCAGAGGTGGTCAGTGCTTTCAGATTTGGGACTTCAGAGTTAATCTGTAACCTGAGAGTTAGGGCCTGACCCGCTCTATTCAGCAGAATTTTATTCCCCTGAGTTCAGTGGACTTTGGATCAGTTGACTGGCTCTGAATTTCAAGTGGTTTTTGGAGTGGATCTTAAGAGCTACTGTCCTTCTCACAGATCTGAGTAAAACCATGCTCAGGTTTCCACAAAGGCAGGGGAGCCAAAGCCTCTGAGAAACCCCGGTGTGAAGGAATGGGAGGACTGTTAAGCATCTAAAATCTGGAAAGCGTGGCTGTGGAGTGTGAAACCCTGCCAGGCCAGTCTCTCCTCGGGTTCTGTCGTTTAGGGACAGTGTCAGCCCTTGTTCTCGTGTGGCTGCTGTCACTGCAGTGACTCAGGGTAGGGACCCAGCCAACAAATTAAATAAACAGGAAGGAATATGGGAGTCACTTAAATCAGGGAAGGGAGAACATGACCTAACTTCACCAGGCTGAACTCCTTTGAATTCTCCATCTTGGGGAAGATATTTGGAACAGTCTGGAAGGCGTTTCCAGGCTCTGATCTTTTCCAAAACATTCCTGTGGGTGCTGGAGTATCCCTCTTGCTCATCAAGTGCCACGCATCCACAGGAATGGGCTGGATATGCTGAGGTGCTGCAGATTCTGGCTGTTCCCAAGAGGCAGGGGGAGGGAAAAGCTTTGCACTTTAGATATCCAGAGGGGTTACACAAGTTCATCATGATGCTTTCTGTTCTAGTTTTATGTTTTCCTAGCAGAGGAATCCCCCTTTTTCTGGGATTATTTTGCAAGATGTTGACAGTGACTGAAAATTGTGAACAGAGTAGTACCAGGAGCTTTACTGTCTCTGCCATAGGTTAGCATCCATGGAGCAGAAACGGATAGATGCTGCTCTGTGCTGTGCTCAGCCTGGGTGTCTGTTCTGGGGGCTGTAGGCTTGGGGAGAGGCCTGGGAGCAATTCATCCCGAGATGGGCTTTTGTTCTCCTCTCTTCTGCCCACTCAGCTACTCTTCTTCATAGCCAAATGGCTTTTTAAGAGATTTTGAAGCTGAGCTAAGAGGAGCACCACCTTCAGCGTTAGTCAGCCTGACAACAAGATCCAGCCTCACAGAGCACACCCTGGGAAGCACAGGAAGAGGGGGAATGAGAATCCCTGAGCATGGCAGGAAAGTGGGGAAAATGTCAGACAGCTGCAGCACTGCAGAGTGTGGAAATAGTAGCACAAGAGTTAAGCCTAAATCTTCAAAGTCCTGAGTGCCCTTAACTGTCATTGATTGCTGGAGAAGTTCTCTCCTGGGAAACATTAAGAATTTTATTGGCATACACCAGTTAAAAGAGCTGTTAGGAATCGGGGCTCCTTGGCATCATGCACTTGGACTAATTACTTTCCAAATGTATTATTTAAAATAACCCTAATCCAGTAAAGTGGGCTGCCTCATTCAGAAACCTGCTGGCTTTTCTGCAGAGTGGGATGAGAGCATCCAGAGGATGCTGCTCTGTGCCGACAGCGGGCTGGAATTGTTTGCCTCTGACAATTTAAAGCCACCTGGGAGTCGCTGATCTTTCAGGGCAGGAGCTCTGCAGGTTTCTTCTTTCCCTTCCGCTGTTTATTGCACTGCTTGGGGAAAAATGATCCAGCTGTTGGTTTTGGCCTGCAAATGGAGAGCAGAGCTGTCGTCTGGCGCCCGGTCATCCACCTGCGGGAGCCTCAGCTCTGCCCTTTCATTCACTCTCTCCTGTCCGCAGGTTGACGGGCTGCTCTTCTATCACAGGCAAACCCACTACACCCCTGGCAGCACCCCACTGGTGGGCTGGCTCCGGCCCTACATGGTCCCTGAAATCCTGGGGCTCACCGTACCCTCCACCGCGCTCACGGCCAAACCCAGCTATGCCGGGCGGCAGCTCCAGCAGATCATCGAGAGCAAAAGGAGTAAAAAGCTGGCGGTGGAAAAGGGGGACCCGAGCAGCGTGGTGGCCGCAAAGAACGGACATTACGAGCTGGAACACTTGTCTACCCCTCAGCCAGAAAAGTCTCTGGAGGGCCAGGACGGAGCAGTGAGCCAAATGGAGAGTTAAAATGCTGGGACAGGCCAACTGGGGAGGGAGCAGGGAAAAGGCTCCCTGCTTCTCACTGTCCCTCATGCTCCTGAGAGGGGGCAAAGTAATGATGATAGGATAGCTTTGTTTCAAGGGCATGACAGTGGAATATCTTGCCCCAAGGGCTGTTTTTTGGGGGGGGTTTTTTGGTTTTGTTTTTGTTTTTTTTTAGCGTTGGGGTTTTTTTATTTTTTTTTTTGCCAAGGCTTCTGTGAGTCCTTAACAGGATTGTCTGGTTCTCTGCTAAGGCAGTCGTGCGTTGGGACGCACTGCAGGGATACAATTCAGCTCCTGACCCTGCTTCTCCTGAAGCCCTGGCAGAGCTCCAGCATAGGAACAGTGCTCGGACCTCTGAGGTGCAGCTGCTGCTCACGACCCCAGGTAGCAGCCCCACCTTCCTGACCCCAGAAATGGGGGCTTCTCGGCCTTTGATCCAGCTCTTTTCTGAGGCCTTCACAATGAAAGTTTTGGGGTCAGTCTGCTTCTTACTAGCAAAAAGTTGGCAGTGAGCTTCTGTAAATCCAAAGGGTGGACTTTCCACACCCACATATTCTTAGGACGATCTAAATTTTCCTTGCATCGCAGCAGGACCTGCCTTGGAGCAGGGCTTTGTGCACAGTGAGTGCAGCAGAAGCCTCTCTCTCCTCAAGGCTTTTCTCAGTGGGGGGAGGAAGGAATGGCTTCGGTCTGAAAAACACTACCATTGATCGTGCCAAATAAAAGGTTTCTCAGAAAGACAAATTCTTGAGCGTCTTCCTGCTACCTAAGGGTGGATGCGTGCTGTGCCTCCCAAATAGGGATTGAAAAAATCAGTTCCAGCGCTGACTGGAGCAGAGGAAACGCTTACGTGGGTTTGATTCTCTGCACACTGAGTTAGTTTGGTCCCTTCTGTCCCTCTCACCCCAGCCCAATCCCACTTTTTTTAAGCACTGGCTGCTCCTTCTCCCTGGCTTTAAGAGGATGAAATGATTGTTCTCACTGTCGCCAGGTTGGTTTTCAGAGGGAGATTAAAAGGGGAGATGAAACATCAGGCTAAAGGCGGTGTTGGGGACTTTAATCCCAGCTCTCTAGGGAAATGCCCCTGGAGGAGATAGGGAGAGTGGGGATGACCACCCGCAGATAGTGGGGGTACTTGTATCCTGCCCTCACACCCCCACTTTTTCCCAGAAAAGGGCTGATTCTGTGCCAAGCATGCGGGCTGCGTGCAACCATCTGGCTGTGCAGCCACTATTGATTACACCAGCGGGCAGCAGGAACTGTCCTGGATGCAGGGGGGCTTCCCCGGGAGGGAAGCGGCACCCTTGGCTCTGCAGTGTTTGGAGCTGTCTCTTTCAAACAGCTGCTTATTTTATAATGTTCAGTATTATTTTTTTAGCATGTGAAGCAGCTGCTCAGGGAAAGATGATAGACACCTGGACTGCCTTATTCCCCCCATCCCTCAAAGGTTCCCACCTTCAGCCTCTCTGGTTGGCAGAGATCTGCAGGGAGAGTGCTGAACAGGAGACTGCACCCAGCCTCCTGTCAGCACAGTTTTCCTTCCGTCAGGCAATTAAACCCGGAGGTGGGCATCTGGATGGAAGATTTGTGCATCCCTTAAGGCAGAGAAAGCTGCACTCAGTTTACTGCCCCCCAGCAGCCTTCCAAGGTCCTCTGGCCAAGGGAAGGAGAGGAAATACAGCCAAATAGGGGCTGTGTGCACTGATGGAGGGAGGAGAACAAGAGGGAAACGACTGCAGCTCTCCACTGGCTCCAGATGATGCCTCATAGTTTCTCTTTTAAAAGCATGAGCTGGGCTGGTGAAATAAATATTTGCATTACAATTCCTGTTGGGAACCAAAGGTTGTGTTTGGAGAGAGGGTGTCAAACGGAAGTCGCCGGGGCTAGTGCAGTTTGATGCTGTGACTCTTCTGTTTGCTGGGTGTGATCCCATTCCCAGCTGGAACAGGCAGCAGCTCCAGCGGAGGGGATCACGCCCCCCACACCCTCCCCGGCTGCTGAAATTTGGCCTGAGGCAGGAGAGCTGAGCCGGCAGCTCGACGTGGAGACGCGGTCTGGGTCTCTGGGGGACAGAACGAGCCTGGAGCCCTCATCCAGCCGGGGCTCAGCCCCTTCCCTTTGCCCTTCTTCCATTTTCTCCCAGTTAGGTGCACAGGCTCCGGCTGCGGGCACGCTGCCAGTGCAGTGCTCCTCGGCTGAA